GGTCCTTTCCGGTGTGTCCAACTTTTCCACTTCTTTTTAGGCTATCTGTGTGGAGGCAGCCATGATCAGATATGGAGCACCTGCCTATCCAGTAGCTCAATCTTCTGGCATAGAAGTTATTCTGTCTTTCACATGGCATTGGGTTTTAATTTCTAAGGTTGACATGTATCAGTTTCTGCTTAGTCTGAAATGTCACTTTTCTCAAAAGTAATGGCATTCATATCGACAATGTTCTATTGAGAGGAGGTTGAACCCTTTTCAGCAAGTGGTGTCAACCATAACTCGTTTTTTTTCCACAATTGCCATTGTTTACAGTGGCCTTATCAACTACCATTTGATTATCGCAGCTACATATTTTTGAGTTTTCACATTGTTTTGGGTAATTGGTCCCAAATGACCATTCCAGTTACCTAACAGGTAGATTCAGGTTATGTGTTCTTTCTCTACACCTGTTTGTGACCTGACTCTTATATGCTATGTATCCCCTTTATCTGCAGGTATATTTTTCCTGGCTGCTGACCTATGATTTTTGTGAGCCAGATTTGCGCTGTTTTTCCGCAGACCATTTTCTTATTTTATCTATGTCCTCAGACCAGTTCTTCTTACCCAACACTCTGTCAGACAGAAAAGGGGTTCAATTCTTTTCTCCAATTCACCAATTCACTCTTTTTCTCTGTGTCCAATCAGATTTCGATCTTAGTCATGTTCAGTAAGGATCTTGAAGGTTTTGTTGCTTGCACTTATACATTTAGAGATACTAGGCAACCCTTCTGGGTGGTATTCGCCAATTCATTCACCTGGCATTTTCTTCCCTTTCTCCTGATGATTGTTGCCATTTCATGTTTTCTTCCTATCAGATCCGTCATCTTACCATGTCCCTGGCTACACATTTCCATCTTCTTTTTGGGGAACATCATCAGTTCTGTAACTGTTTATCTGTGATGGTAAGTACTCTATTCATTTTTTCTTTGCTGGGTGCCTTTATCGCATATTTTGATCCCACTCTGTGGTGAGTGTTGCCTGACCAGGTATACTTAAGTTTGCACTGTACAACCTGTGAATATGCTATATAACTGTGACATTGAGACTCTTCCTACCGTAGGCCTGATGTACCATTCCAGATGCCAACAGGTATTGATTGATCAACTCCATCCAATATGTCATCTATGCATCAACATCAAATGTTGAAAAAAAAGAGCCAAAATAACACATCACAAGATCATTTTATACCCACCAATGAGGTGGGGCATTCTGCTGGACTGCTCATAGGTGTATCTCATGGTCTATGGCTTCATAAGTATCTTTGTCCTTGACTGTACACTCATGGACTAACTTGAGTAAATCAGACAGGGATTACTTCCCATCTCTGATGATCTGTGGCAAAGTTGAAACCAAAATTCAAATATTAAGAGCATTTAAACTTAATTATAAGAATTAACATTATAAAGCATTTTATGAAAATAGTCACTCATTACAAACCTCCAGAATCTGCGCTTAGAAGCATTGAATCAGTGGTTCTCTCATCTTTAGTTACATCGATAGGCAGTGAGTCATCCCCAAGTGATTTCATTTCATCTGCTGTCAGATAGTGCATAGACTGATCTCCCAGAATTGTATCTTCACCTGTTATATTAATATCATTTCATATACATAATATATAACAGAAGTTAATAATAAATTAAAACCAAATTATCAATTCTGCAGATTTAACAGATTTATGGTTCATGTGCATATTGATGATAATTTACAAGAGAACAAATAGGTTTTTAAAGGTTACTGTATTAGGAATGTATAATGTTAATAGACTTACTTGCAAGGACAAGAATCCACCAAAAATGTAGAATTGTCCATAATAACTAGTATTCTCTTAGTTTACTGTTAGTATACACATAGTATTTGATCAAATTATTAAATTTGAAACTATTCCATCTTTTAAATCAAAATTAAAAAGCAAAAACAATGTTAAAGCTAAACTCAAATTAATAAAATAGAAGAATATTCAGAGACATTTTTCAGGAATAGCTTATTTAGTTTTTTGGTTGAATAATCAATTTTTCTAAAAACTATTCATTAAATCATTAATTACGTAAACTTTTAAACACTTATGGCAAATAAATACAGTATAATAGCTGTCCCTTTATCTTCCACTTAGAAATATATCAAATAAATATTTTTTTAACAACACTAATTCCCTGATATAGTAATTTTATGCAAAAACATACATATGTACTTATTGTTCAAACTGTTCAACACACAAGTTACTAAAATGTAAAAATGCTCATAAAGAAAATGACAAAGAAATGAACAAAAAACTACTGGAGCAAAGTAATTATGTATCTCACACAGGTGTAACATTTGGTTTATATGTGCATGAATGCATACATAAGAAAGATTATTGGAAAATGCCTTACAGGAAAAACAAAAGATATATTAAGAAAACCTGTTGACTTTTTACATAATTATATTATCCAAGCCTAGCAGCTAACATCATTGTATTAGCTTTGAAACATAATAATAAAACATAAAAACCAATAAAGACATAAGCACGCAGGATTTCATACTTTACAAGTTACATTGTAGAAGATAATATTGAATTTTTAAGCTTTTGTATTGCACACAAGTATTATCTAAGATCCATGTGAAATTCTTTCTTACAGACTAAAATATTTATATGGTTACATTTACAACAGCTAACTTACTTTATTTTTCATTCATTTTGATCTTTGCGCAAAGCAATTTAATAATTGTATATTTTCTATAAAATACGTTTCATAGACATGCAGCAAAAAAAAAACAAATTCCATTTTGTTTATAAAAAACATTATAGAATATGTACTACCTGTGCCAAGCTACCTTGTCATACAAACACAAACTCAGAACAAAATTATGAAATTCCATAATTTTTAACAACTTCCCAGCTTTGAACTCATACTACACAAAGAAATGTCACATTCTTTTTTACAAGCAAAAAAACACTTGAAAAACCCAAGATTATACCAAAATTGCATCATACAACAAATAAAAACCCAAAAGAAGTTATATACAAAGATGTATACCCTATCACTCCGGCAGCTAGGTGGGAAGGAGGAAAACTTACGCATTTGTATCTTCTGACCCTCATAATATGGTAGATACACATGAGTATCATGAGAGAGTGTACCAAACAAGGTGCTATCTTCTATTTCTTCACCAGCACAAAATGGGTGTGACAGGAGAGGATATCAACCCATAAATTAGTGTAACCTGCCCTATTTTTCTATTACAAAAGTGTTAAATTATTCACTTCTGAGAAGACTGAAATTATGTATATTCCACTGGCAACACAATTCCCACACAATCTTTATATTTTCTTAAATACATATGAAAGCATTCAGAGAATATAGCAGAAAAGCTTGTAATTCATAACATCACAGAATATATAATTATAGCTTAGGAAAATTAGCAAATTAGATCTAATGGAGTAGTGAATAGTGAAGTACTATCACTTATATCAATCTCTCAAGAACAAAGAATATTACACTTAAACACATAGATGTACAGGTAAACACAATTTCTGTGAAAGCTTAAGAAAGTCAAGTGATAAAGATTATTAAAAACATTAATCAAACTACTGTGCTTATTTCCTTACAGTTAAGTAAAAAATAAATTAGAAAATTAGAACTCCAGTTGCATGCTCTTAAGAACAGGAGAAGCAAGAAGCATCTGGACTTTATAGGTTAAAATGATCAGTAAACAGTTCATTTTCAATTAGAATTCCAGTAAAATGAGGTTTACTACAAAAACATGGCCCATGTATGATTGTTTGTTTGTAATTAAGCACAAAGCTACACAATGGACTATCTGTGCACTGCCCACCATGTAAGTCCGCAGACATACTGCTGTGCCACTGGGGGGGGGGGGGGGGTCCCATGTATGAAAATATTTTATTTTTAATAGATGAATGAAGAAAAGACAGCTGACAGATACAACTCAAACATAGTTTAATTTCTCTTAATTTACTGTTTTACTTGTTAATTATTTCAATTATACCTAACATGATAAAATAAAAGTGCTGTTTATGATTTATAAAACTAAATTACTTTCAATAATACACTATTTTAGGAAATATACCCCTGTATTTAATGGTACAACTTCTGGTTATAATATTTTCATTCATAGTATATATTGTGATGATCTAAGAAGTCACCAGTCTTAGATGTAACAACTAAAACAGTAATGAGAATTTATGATTATGATTTTAATTACAGGTATACGCATATATGCATGCAAATCAGTTAAGTTTAATGCAATTTCTTTTATTAGGCTCACTATAAGCTAACATACATATAAATATGGGTCAATGGGGAGTTTAGTGGGTAAAACATGGTGAAAATAATTATATTAAACTCATGAAGCTCAATTACTGTAACAAATTTTACCACTGTTTTGAAAATGGGAATCTCTACTTTTTCTATATGTTATTATCCTGAGCATTCTATTTCCTTCTGTTTTTCAGTATGTTTTTGGATTGAAAAATATTACCATTAACTAAAATACGTGATTTTGTGTGAATTCAAATTATTTGTGGAATTTTAAGTGTTTTAGATACTTACCTACTCTCACAAAAAGCTTTCTTGACTTGTATTGCCCTCTATTGGCATAAATTCTTGCTCACCACTAGCCTTGTTACTCCCATTTATTACTGCATACTAACATGCAAATGATCATGTAGCAACCCTCCACCAATGGGAGTAAGGCAATAACCTTACTGTAACTAGTGCCAATCCATCAATAGGAATAAGGTAATAATCCTACTGTAACTAGTGCCCCTCGACAAATAGGAGTAATACAATACCCCTAGTGTAAGTAGTGCCCTCTCTAATCATGAACATGATAATCACTTCAAGATTGGTCATAACCAATCAAACCAATTCACATCAGAAGTGGGGAGGTCAGGTGTGAAATGTGAGAAGAGGCAACTATCTATTGGAAATACATTTTCAGTTTAAGAAAACGTTAACTTCCGATACAGTATCTTACCTTCGCTCACAAAAAGCTAGAATCCCACACTGAACTGGTGGAAACCAGTGAGAAAATGATCCCCCTTAGGAAACGCTCAAAGGAAGATGATGAAGTGTAATAAGGAATTAAAAACAACACCCTAGAGGGAGACCACACTACTTCTGAGCCAGGTATACTCTTCGCCCTTTAATAATGTGTCAACAAAACATAAAGTGCAGGAACATGACGGGGTCCCAAGAAATACAGAAATAATGGTATTTCTTTGTGTAGGGTGGCTAGGGCATGACAGACCGTAAATGGAAGTTCAACTTCAAACAATACCTGGCGGCATTTGGAATTGTACATCAATTCAGTTGTAGGAAGAGGGTCCTCTAACTTTCACCTCAAAAATGAGTACTGCAGGGGAAGAGGAGCTGTCGTACCAAGAACTCATCTCTGCATGTTTGCACCTCCAACACAACTAACACCAGATCCACCGGGAACCTGCATCCAGCAGATAGTAGGAAGGAGGAGAGAGAAGGCAGGTGTTCATCTCTGGTCTAAAAACCTGGCAGCATTGGGAATTTGGTCATCCAGTCTGTGGTAGGAGTAGGATACCAGCCAAACACATGTGAGGACTTATGTGGCTGGATCATCTCCAACTAGCACCCGATCCCCAGGAACCGACATCCAGGGGATGATAGGAAGGAGAAATGTCTTAGTCGGAGGGGCAAACTACATTCTTTATTCTTCTTTTGTTATTTTTCGTTTATATATATAAATATATATATATATGGTGGAGTGCTACATCCAACACCTGGCAGCATCTGGAATTGTACATCAGGTCTGCAGTAGTAACGGCTCATGCCATTGACACCCACAGAATGCCACCTCCCTACTTTCAAACTGAGTGGTTTTGGGCATACTCAGGAGGACAGACCTCCATGGTCCAAAACCCAAGAAGCTAGAAACTGGTAAGTGGAAAGGACTCCCATACTCTACTAGAAGAAGGAGGGAAATAATGCATTTGAGAGTTCAAAGGACTGCAGCACCAGAGACAGTGCAATGGGTGACCATGATACCCTATATTGAAAAGCAGAGCAATTATATTAATGGAGTGTGTCATCCAACATCTGGCAGTGTCTGGAATTGTACATTAGGTCCGTAGTAGGACAAGCATCAAAACTAGATATGATGCATGGACTGGAACTTTTCTGTTTTTATGTATATATGGATGAAAAAATTCCTGTTGAATGGAGCACCCCCAATCAATAGTCTCTTTGCAAAGCAGATCATGGAGAGCCTTGGTAAGATGACTGAGAGATGTGAGATCCCGTGGGGGTGGGAAGGAAATGGGAAAGGGGAGGTGGGGATCAAAACTGAAGGCAGAAACCTCCAGAAAGAACCTGTAGAATCCACACATCTGTCATAAAATGCCACCACATGACAGAAAAGTGGAACAATCTGGCCCTCGTCAGTCCAGAAACCTCTGTAGTGTCACCTATAATGCTGGCATCAGTTAACCCGGTTGCGGGAATAACAAAGATAGAGTCTGGAGTGCCAAGTCCTAGCCAATGGCCTGGGCAAAGAAGAAGGAAGATGAGCAACTCATGGGAGGAAGAGAGAAGATGAGATAGACATGT